TGGGGGGGGGGTCTTCGACCTGAAAAATCAGGGGTTAGGATTTGCACCCGGTCGAAAGAAACCTTGCTATCGCAAGAGTAACTCCAGCTAGCTTCGCTAGCTTTCGTGATAAGGAATGATCAATTTCTTAGACACCACTTCGCAAAACCCTCGATTTGGCGCCTTTCCTCGCGAAACACTAGAATGAAACCTTCAGCGAAGGCACCCCAGTTTTGGGGACACCTCAGAAAAAGACACGGCCAAGTTCTCATCCTTTCGTTTCTAGTTTAAAGCTTGGTCCTTCCTGTCTACGGAACGACCTCACAAAACTGGTGCAGGCCAATTCTTCATGCAGCGGGTGGAGTACCCTGACTTCTCAGTGCCTTTGACTTGCGATTGCCGTGAAGTCAACCTGAGAATCAACAATCATGTGGTTTGTCATGGATTGACTCATGGCGTGACTCCTCGTGCGGAAAGTAGGTGGAGATTTTCATGCTGGACACCAACATGATGGACTCTCATCCAAAGCACGCAGATCCCAAACACAACATCTGTGGCCAAATGCACAACCCTCCTGGGGCTAGCTGCTCGGCCACTGGCGGCCCCAAGAATTTGGATGACTGCTTCAAGTTCATGTGGGAGCCATGGCTGCAGTTTGGTGAGTCTCGTTTAGTCTTGGGAGTGTTGATGCTTCTCGAAGCCCAAAGAGGGATGGCGGTTAGCGAAAGCGCAAGCTCATCAGCCCCTCATTGGGCCTCGTTGGGCTTCGAAAGCGATTTCGCTCCTCAGGATGTTTGGAGAGATGAGCAGAAGTGGACCGAGAAGAAGCTCGAAAGCTCCACCGCGGACTGGCAGATTGACGCACCGACCTGCTTGGTTTCGAGGGAGCGGAAAACCGCTCAGCGGGAACAAAGGGATGTCCACAGCGTCCTTGCTCCTAGTAGCGATGCCAGGAGCCCCTAGTAGCGTCCTTGCTCCTAGTAGTAAGGCCAGGAGCCCCTAGTAGTGTCCAAAGAACTGGCCAAGTTGGCCAAGTATAAGTACGCATATTTTTCCGCCAGGTGGCAACCCACTTCCAGTGTGGACATCAGGCGCCGCCCAGTCACAAAGACATGTTTTGCTAAGACGCACCTTGGATTGGTGTGTCACTATGTTGTTTTGAAAGTTGCAGTTTTCAGCTTTAGCATAGGCTCAATGGTACAAGAAGCTGCACGGTGAGCTTGGCCTTGACCTTCTTGTAGCCCTGATGCAAGCACAGAGAAAAGATTGAACCATTCGTGGCTAAGAAGCTACTAGGGTGGAGGTGGAGGCCATTATGGCTACTAGGGTGGAGCCATCGCTACTAGAGTGGAGGCCATCGCTACTAGGGAGGCCATTGCTACTAGGGTAGAGGCCATCGCTACTAGGTTGGAGGCCATCGCTACTAGGGTGGAGGCCATCGCTACTAGGGTGGAGGCCATCCATCGCTACTAGCGTGGAGGCCATCGCTACTAGGGTGGAGGCCATTGCTACTAGTTACTAGTAGCAAGAAGCTACTAGCGTCGTGGCTATGGTTTGGTGTGGGTCCCTGGGTTGCCAAAAGAGGAAACACGAAGAAAGGATATGCAAAAATATCATGAACCAGTTTTCCTTAACGCCCACAAGCGTGAAACAGAACTCTTTGGAGGTCAGACATTTGGAGCTTAGGTCACTGGACATACTCACACCCAAGCCATCTTCGACAAGTGGAAGGTGCATTGCTCGATGGACACCTGGACACGTGAGCGCGCTTTGGTGTGACTTTGTGTCACCCGTGGATCAATTTTGTAAACGTTTCACTTCGCGCTGAGCTGCAGTCATAAGTCATCACTTCAGATGACTGACGGTTTTTCATGGTCTCGTTTGACGTCAGGTTTTGGGTGGCTTGACGTGCTTCATCACTGGCGGAGGCGGTGGCATCACCTCAGAGAACCCGCCTGATGTGCCCAGAAGCTCTGCGTATGGCTTCTTCGACATGACAGTCTCCAAGGTGCAGAAATTCCTCGAGTATTGTGTGGTTTGCAGAGTATGTGCATGTACAATTGGTTTGCAGAGTTGATGCGAGATATTGCGAGATCCTGATCACACATTTGTCACTTTGGATCTAAACAGAGAAATGTGGCCTTTCGTCGACCGGACGCCAAATCTCACTTCGTGCGAGGACACGATCAAGTTGGAGTCAGTGAATTTCAAAGGTGAGGTTGTTGGCAGGGCCACGGTAACGCCTGTGGGAAAGGGTGGGGCGAACGCAACAGCGGCCTAATTGCATGCACGCTCAGCACAAGGATGTTGAGTGAAAATGGCCCAAACAGGGCTTTCATAGAGGCTGGCAACCAGATTTGGCTGATTTAGGTTTTGAACTTTTGAGGAAGGCCAACCTCAAAAACGGCCGAACTAAAAAAAGTCGCAAAAAGGAGTTCCGAGTGCTTGTGGGTTGCACCAGTCCCTTGTGGCCATCCAAACACTCCTGGCACAGGAAAGGACCAATGACTGAAGAGGAGCTAGAAGACCGAAGAAAGGAAAGAACCAGGAAAGGACCAGTCTGAAGACAGAGACAGAGAGGGAGAGGGAGAGAGCTGGTGATTCTTTGGTTCTTGTCGAGTAAGAATGACTCAATCAATGATTTTGTGACAGTGTTTGGTACCAATTCTCTATTAGGTTCTCTATTAGGTTGCAGGCCATCGCAAGTAGGTTGGAGGCCATCGCTATTAGGTTGGAGGCCATCGCTATTGGGTTGGAGGCCATTGCTTCTAGGTTGGAGGCCATCGCTATTAGGTTGGAGGCCATCGCTCTTAGGTTGAAGGCAATAGGCTATTAGGTTGGAGGCCATCGCTATTAGGTTGGAATTCGGATTCGCTTTGTCGCTTTGACTGGAAAGAGTCTGCATACCGCTCCAGGCAACGGGTGCTTGCCAAGCGGGAGGTGGAGAAGAAGAGGCGCCTGCAAGAACAGGCATGCTTCTCAAGCCGACAAGGGGGAAGATAGGACGAGTTGTTTGCTTGAATGTTCTGATTTCAAAAAAAAGTCACCACAAGTGTCACCATACTGTTATAAAAACATGCTACATAGTGAAATGTCTTTGACTTGCTTATTTTTGGGGCATGGACACCCACGAATAGTTCTCACAGCCAGCATCCTTCGAAGTGATCGCTAAGCTGACTCAGGCCAAGGCACGAGCACATGCCAAAAGAGGCCGGAAGGCCCAAAGCAAGGCCAAGCGCATCGGGATGGGGAAGGGAAGTTTTTCCCCATGTGTTAGGTGAGGGAATTTTAGTAGAGGAGCCCCTAGTAGCGTCCTTGCTCCTAGTAGTAAGGCCAGGTGTTCTAGTAGCGTCCTTGCTCCTAGTAGTAAGGCCAGGAGCCCGCCAGGGGCCCCTAGTAGCGTCCTTGCTCCTCGTAGTAAGGCCAGGAAAGGCCAGGAGCCCCTACTATCGTCATTGCTCCTAGTAGTAAGGCCAGGAGCCCCTAGTAGATTTTTACAGATAGCAAGCGCCAGATCGCAGTTGGCACTACGGGACATCCACGCAACACCAACAACGTACAAGGACAAGCACACGACCAACGACGCGCAACCACAAACACACAACCACAACCACAAAGACGCAATCACAAACACACAATCGCAAACGCACAACCACAAACGCACAACCACAAAGACAACCACAAACAGGCAACCATAAACACACACAATCACAAACACACGACCACAAGCACACAGTCACAAACGCGCAAGCCACAACCACAACCACAACCACAACGACAACGCGCAATCGCAACACACACAACCGCAAACACATCTACACACCCACAATCACAGACGCACAGTCACAAACGCAACCACAAACACACAATCACGAACACAACCACAAACAGACACACAACCACAAACACACAAGCACAAACACGACCACACAATCACAAACACGCGACCACAAACACACAACCACAAATGCGCAATCCATAGCCACGACCACAAACGCGCAATCACAAACACACAGCCACAAACACAAACACACAGTCACAAACACAAACAAACACACAATCCAAAAACGCAACCACCAACACAACTGCAAACACGACCACACAACCATAAACACACAAGCACAAACACACAACCACAACCATATAATTACCGGTGTGTGTGTGTGTAACCCTTGGAGTCATAGGGATGCTTTTGCATTTATTT